CAACCACAATAGTGCACGTGCTTTCCATTTCTTATAGTTAGAACCATCAAAAGCATATGATTTCAGTGCAGCAGCAGAGCCAACTACCGAAAATGACCTATCAGGTTTTTGGATTGTTGGAAATATGGTCATGAATCGGCATATTTTAATCCAGAATGTTAAGACAATAATCATGGCATAAGCAGTGTAGGGTGATCTAGTGACAACATGTAACATAACCAGTAGCATACTAAAGACATCATGCGCATCATGAATATCAGGAACAAGAACATAGCAGTAATGCAATAGCATGCTAGAGGCATCATGAATATCAGGAACAGGAACATGAATATAGCAGTAAAGCGCTAACAACGGGAACAGGAACAGGAGAAGTATATACCCTGAGAATGGCCCTCCACTGGATTGTGAGGCAGAATTGCCTCCGTTGGTGTTGTTGTTCGCGCCACCGGCTCCAGCTCCTGGCGCACCACCTCCGGCTCCAGCTCCTAGTGGCGCACCACCTCCGGCTCCAGCTCCTGGTGGCGCACCACCTCCGCCATCTCCTCCAGCAGCAGCAGCGGCGGCGCAGGCTCCAGGCGCAGACATGGTGGGGCGAGAACGAGCAGTCGTGCGGAAGCACTCCCCAAAAACCTGATCACCCGCCTACCCGGTGCAGATCTCAGGCGAAGGTGTGGTTTCGGAGGCCCTGCTCCTTCCAATCTCTCGTGCGCGCAAGCGATCAGAAGCGAGGAGGCGAGAACAGCACAGGCGCGGAGGAAGAGGAACTAACACCGGGAAAGAAGCAAGCGATCCGTGCCGATCGGACTCGCGGCCTCCTTATCTATCAGGAGAGAGGCAGTCGTGGGAACGTGGGCGCGCTGTTGCGGAGGCAGTCGTGGTAACGTGGGTTAGTGGCTGCAAAAGAGTAGCGACGTGATGCCAGCCACGCCCTCGCCCTCAGCCCGGCCTGGCGCGCGCGCGTGTGGCTTTCCGACCCCCACCTCAACCAGTCAACAGGGGGCCTCCAATAACTCCCTATTTAGGTTGAGATATTCCTCGCTTAAATTCTGAGGTGGTATTATTATCCTTAACACTTATTATGGGCCTTTGAGATTTAATAGGATAAGTTGGGCCTAGCCCAATTATTCTAACAGTAGCAGTGCAGTGCACCATCGTCTTCGTCAAGTGTCAACAGATACACAGTCACATGTTCCATGCCTTTGATGCCCATTGCATCCTGTGTGTCATGACGCGGTCCAAACTCTACTCGTTCGTCGCATCTCCGCAGCAACTTAAAATTCTCGTTGTGTTTATCGCAATTCACAGTTACGAGATGTCTCTGTTAGTCTGTAATCTGTATCATGGCATGCTTGCATTCTGTAATATTTCTCGTTCAGTAAATTAGCATATGTCACACAGTAACTCTGTATCATTCCAACCAAGATACTATATATTATACGACCACTTCTCAATCCTCAATTCCGCTTTGATAGAAGGTTGCAAAGTCAGACCATTTGCTAGTTGTTGCGAGCCGCTGAAACTGAAAGCGAGGTCTTGGATCAAATCGGCCAGAGAAAAGAGATTTGTGACTGCAACATTCGCGAGGATTGTATCTACGCAATAAGGTTTTAGACCCTCTTACATGCATATGGTGGTAATGCTGTACTGATACTGGATGGAGCTGGGCAGCTAGCATGTTGTTTGTGGTGTGTGAAATCGATTCACTAGCTTAATTAGGTAGCTTCCCTTTCCGATTAGGCCCGTTTAGTTCGCGAAATGAAAATTTTAGGTGTCACATCGGATGTTTGACCGGATGTCGAAAGGGGTTTTCAGACTCAAATGAAAAAACTAATTTCATAACTCGCATGAACAACCCGAGACGAATCTTTTGAGCCTAATTAATCCGTCATTAGTATATGTGGGTTACTGTATCACTTATGGCTAATTATGGACTAATTAGGCACAAAAGATTCGTCTCGCAATTTTCCCCCTAACTGTGCAATTAGTTTTTGTTTTTATCTATATTTAATGCTTCATACATGTATCCAAAGTTTCGATGTGATGTTTTTAGGAAAAACTTTTTGAAAACTAAACAGGGCCTTGCTGGATCGTCGGAAGGGAAAGGATGTTGTTTCTAAAAAAGAAAGGAAAGGAAGTAGATTGCTTGGGCCCACATACTCAAGAAATGATCCATTAAGGGTGTGTTCAGAACTCTAGGTTCCCAACCCAACTCTCTCCAGCACGCACGCTTTTCAAACAGCTAAACGGTGCGTTTTTTTATAAAAAGTTTCTATACGAAAGTTGCTTAAAAAATCAAATTAATCTATTTTTGAAATAAAATAGCTAATACTTAATTAATCACGTGCTAATAGACTGCTTCGTTTTTCGTGCGGAGGCACTATGTTTCCAACCTGAACATACGAACACAGCATAAGAGATGTTATTTCCTCCGTCCTAAAATGTCAATACCTTGATCCAATCTAAAACAGTAAATTTGGATAGACTTCTGCTCAGATTTATTATCTTATTCATCTTAGAAACATTCTGAGAGGGTGATAGTATGCATCCTAGTTGGGGCATCTGCGCTGGAAGCGGCGCGCACTTCCTGCCCCCACACGACTCTAATAATGTGTTGAGTGACAGTTAGTGTTAATTGTGGTTTAAAGCACTTTTTTATAATAAATTATTTAACAATTAAATCGAGTTGAAAATTTAACTCACCGCTCAAAAGTTGAAATTTAGGAGTTCAAATTTTCAAATATGAGTAAAGTATTCATGGTTAAAGTTGAAAGTTTTCAAATTTCGACTTAAAAGTTTCAAAATACAAGCTGAAAGTTTTAAATTTTGAGTTGATTTTTTTAAAAAAATTAAAATTTAAGTTGAATATTTTCAAATTTTAGTTAAAAAGTTTTCAAATCTTAACTTGAAAGTTTTCAAACATGAGTTGAAAGTTTCAAATTAGTGTTGAAAGCTTTAAATTTGGAATATAAAGTTTAAAACTTTGGGCAATTGAAAGACAAATTATTTTTGAAAAGTTAAAATACCAAAGCTGATTATGCTTAATTTACCGGAAGAAGAAAACAAATCCGGAACTAACCAAGCTAATCTGTATGCTAATTGTGTTTGTTTTGGGGTTTCGATTTTTTCCATAACACCGCCCGTGCACTACACTAATGACACGTGTCTGTGCGCGCCCGTAACTTTTCTCGCCCGTACGCACTAATTAGTCTTCTCGCTCTTAGCATCGATCGATATGGCTCGTGGATTAATTAGAAACGGTGCAGCGCCGCGTGCACAGACGGGATCACGGGAATGCAGTTGATGAGCATCGTTTGGTGGTAAATCTCCATGGATGATGCCGCCACCGAGGAGAACATCACTGATACCCCGGCGCCAACGCCGACGCCGGCGGCAACGCGTCAAGGGGAGATCATATGGATAGACGTACTAGATTATATACCGCCGTGTCCGTTTGATTCATTCCACATTAACCTGGTGACGTACAAGCGTGCGTGTCGTGAGCGGTGGCAGTTGGGGATCGAGGAGGAGAAGCTGGTGCACGCATGCTCCAGGTTCCGGTGGCAGTTGGACAAGGACGTTTTTCTCCAGCAAGCCCGGAGAATCAGGGAGAATGCAACTTGCAATTCACAACTATGGCGCGTCTCTGTGACATATGGCATTCATCTTGCCTCGGTTAGCAGCTTCAATTAATATTTGTTCTACTATTGTTATAACATGCTAATTAACTAATATACTTGAAAAACACTAATTAACCACTTCCTCTATCTCATGATATAGTAACTTAGAACCGGATAAAATATTTCATAATACAACGAATCTAGACATCCTCCTATTCAGATTCGTTGTTCTATAAAATATCTCATCTGATTCTAGATTGTTATATTATGTAATGATGAAGGGAGTACTAGTTTTGAAGTAATGAATGGATCTACGAACACACTTCTCGATCGAGCTTTCAAATTAATAGCTCTCTCCACTTACAAGCCAGTGACGGAGACCCACATCCCGAGCTACCTGACCCACAGCTCGGGCTGGATATATATATATAGGTTTTAATTTGGCCCAACACTTCATGGGTTGATCTAAAGCATAGCCCAAAGCTAGATCTGTCTCTAACCATTAGCCTTTTTAAAAAAACGTTTATAAGCCTTCATCTACTCTCTCTATATATGTTTTTCAATATTTTTCTAAGTATAATAGTTAATTCATTCATTTATACACTCAAATAATTATAAAATCATTTCTCACCCACATTGATAAGGTTGCTAAGTCTCCCAACCTACTTGTTGCCAGTTGCGATGCCACCGATGAAAGCGAGGTCTAAGATCATATCGGCCAGAGGAAAGTTTCACACAATATTCGTCGGAGTAGATTTCACACAATAACCTACTGCCTACTGGATCGAGCATTCGAGCTGGCATGCTGTGACGTGAACTCACTAGCTTCCTTTTCCGGTTACACTGACATCTTCGACAAGGAAAGGAAGTAAATTGCCGGGTCCCACGTACCGAAGAAACGGTGAACACAATGCTCAAAATCGTTCATTAGAGTAAGTTTAATAGTATAGCCCACTACTAGCTCTAATTCATTTATAGCCAATCTAATAGTCAATTCATATAATAATTGATTACTATACTATTAGTACATGGTCTCACCTGTCATATACACATTGTGTCTTGAAGTCCGTGCTGTAGCTGGCTATAGATCTGTAGCCCGCTGCTATTCTCTCTACTGTAAAATTAGATGTGGTAGTCACCTCTACTGCAAAACTTGCCCTTAGTGATTATTATTACATGCCTAGATTTGCACGTCGTTTTTCGGTCTTTCCCGATTGGACCTAAGGCACGTTTTCAGCCGCTACCGTCATTCTCGTTCGCGCGACAGCGACCGAGCCCCTCGATCGAGCTGAGTCGTTCTCGTTCCCGATCGCTAGCTGCGCGCGCTTCTACGCGTACTAGTACTTGTGTGCTGTTGCATCGCTGACACGGCTCGCGATTCGCGAATTGCAGCCACGGAACGCGCGCGCCCAGCTATATTTACCCCTGTTGATGCGCGCGCATCGGTTGGTGTTAGATCTCCATGGGTGATGTCACCACCAAGGAGAAGAATGTGATCGTGACGGCATACGAGGAGGTGCCGCCCGCGCCGCGGCGCCGTCGTCCGGGGAGCGGCCGCGCTGGCGCGACGTCGTCGTCGTCGTCGACGACGACAGCGGAGGTGACCACTTGGCAGCAGGCCAAGGCGGCGCCGGCGGCGTATCAGGCCGGCGTGGCGGCGGGCGCCCGGTACAGAGGCAGCAACCGGCGGGCGCTGCTGCTCGCGTACGCGCAGCATCTTCGGCGGCGTGATCAGCGCGGAGCTAGCGGCGAGCGGCCGCGGGTGCTGATGGAGTGGGGCAAATGGAAGACGCAAGGTCATCCCGGTGCCGGCGCCGGCGGCGACGCGGTAAGAGAAGACATTAGATTGGCAGATCGCCGTCTGTCTGTTCGATTCATTCCACGTTAGCCTGACGTGCGCGCGCGCGCCTGTGTCATGTTGGGTGTTGAGGTGGCAGGTGAGGAGGAGGAGAAGCTTATACTGCAGATTCCGGCTGTGGACCAGGGCGTTTCTCCGGCGAGTTCGGAGAATCGGGGAGAATGCGTTGTGCAAGAACAAGGAGATCAGTCAACCGGCCAATGTAGGATAATATGGTTGATCGATCGATTAACTAATTGCCACTTCTGCTAGCTCATGTGCTGTGCTGCTTCTTTCTGGCGAATCTAGATGAAACGAATAGGATCACCAATGCCAAACATATCGTGCATTCGTGCGTGAGAACTTGTACCGACTGTCTCTCGTACGTGGAGAACTGCTCTATTTTCTGAGTTTGCATTACTAAAGGGAAAGGTACGCACGGATATACCAAAACCCGACTGAAATTTCTTTGCAATTTTTACGAAAGGACGCCACTACACAGTTAGTTAGTGGTCTCGTGATAGACTAAACTAGCGATCCAATTTTTTTTTTATATAACTAGTACCCTGTTCAACCAAGTGCAATATATGTGATTTTAATTGTAAATAGCTGGTCTTAGTAAATATATGATTAACTTCAAAATTTCCAATTCGTCAAGATTTTAATCATTTGATATCTTCAAACAGAATTAAATATTATTTTTTCTGAAATGTGCTATATGGCATGCACCATATATATGCATATGAGTAAATACTTTTTGCGTAATTCATTCTTTAAAATAGAGAATCCATTATATGTCACTGAGTTTGTCATAAATCTATAATTTATCACTGACTTTGTCATATTTTACAATATGAGGGTTGCTAGTTGGCGCACGTGCCAGCTGCTCCCGGCCCAGAAGCCCATCAGCTCTCTTTTTCCTTTTTTTCGCGATTTTTTTTCTTTTTTTTCGTTTTTTTCTGATTACTTTGTTTAATCTTTAGCATACTTATTTTTTAAAAAAGTGTTTTGAGTTGAAAGTTTTTAAATCTTAAATCTGAGTTGAAAGTTTTCAAATCTCGATTTGAAAGTTTTTAAATCTGAGATGAAAGTTTTCAAATCTCGATTTGAAAGTTTTTAAATCTGAGATTTTTCAAATCCGGGATAAAAGTTTTCAAATCTGAGATGAAAGTTTTCAAATCTTGAGTTGAAAGTTTTCAAATCTGGGTTGAAAAGTTTTCAAATCTCGATTTGAAAGTTTTCAATATCGAGTTGAAAGTTTTCAAATTCGAGTCGAAAGTTTCAAATCTCGAGTTGAAAGTTTTCAAATCTGAGTTGAAAGTAAAGGGTGACCGCAATTATTGGAAACTAATTTCGTAAAAAAAAAACTAATTACAATCTTTTATCCGGCTCCTACGCACATAGAGGTGCGAAAAAATAGAAAATAAAAAAGAACGTGGTGGCAAACCAACTACGTGAAAAAAGTATGAAAAAAATGGAAATTACGGGCATTATCTAAACTAACAAGATTAGTTACATACTTACGCTGGACTTATCCGGAGAAACACGCGCATGTGGAGCCGTGCGGAAGGACACAAAACACGCGTGAGCTCTTTTCCTAGCGTGTACACGCTAACTAGGATTCCTGAATATACTATCGACTTTTTCTTAACTTCTACGATTTACCATCGTCGTTCGATTAGCCTCCGTTACTACTGTATAATTTTATTCAAATGATCAACCCTTGGGACAACAAACTTCCAAAAATTGGACAAAAATTTTGAAATATTAGATTTTAAGTTTTTGGCCAATTTTTTGATGTTTCCTATCATATGGTTATAACATGATATTTCGGGATTTTTATTCAAATTTTAAAAGTTTTTTTTGTCACATGGGTGTTTTGGTTATTTGGACAAATTTGTACAACACTAACGTAGGCTAACCAGACGATAATGGTAAATCGTAAAAGTTAATCAAAGTTGATAGTATATTATAGAACTTGACAAAGTTAATGGTAAATCATAGAACTGTGATAAATTCAGTGGCATATAATGAATTCTCTCTTCTTTAAAATGGAATATATGTTTTTATGCATTCTTTTATTAACTCTAATTTCTAATCATGAATGTCTTTATGCATTCTTTCTTTCCATTTTACTTTCTCCCAAATTAATTGAAAGTAATGATATTATCGCCATCACCTTATATAAACATCTAGAACATAGGGTTTCCTTGTTATATGTTACAAGTTTACAACATGGTAACCGGCCTTATTGCCAAGGTGTGGTAATGAAAAATGCTTGGCATATTGACCAAATTCAAATAAATTAAAACAAAATTAAACTTTTGGTGAGATTTGTCCAGTTTTTCTCGATATCTTATCCCTTACCAGGCTTATTGTCTTGGAGGGTCATATATGGTGTATTTGGTTGCTTGCATCCCTCTGACCTGGCTCATCTATCTCATCCAGTCTGAGTTTGGCCTGCATGAGTAGCGAAGGTCGATTTCCGCGTTTCCTCCGAGCCTGGCTCCGGGATGTGATTTGCACGAGTTGAGCCTGGCTCGGACGGACCCGTCATTGCCTGCATCTGCAATGCGAGCCAGGCATCATGCAGGCAACCAAACACGCAAACATGCCCATAGATATTCAAGATACACATGCAAGCATAGACAAACCAGTTTATCGATCTTGCTCACACATTACATAAGTGTTCTAAACATTTGCATATACTCATTTCTGTGATCAACTCTCTCTAGTTTATATTGCCCAACAAATTAATCTTCGTCCAATCTAGCTTCACTCGTAATTTGTAAGAACCTTGCTCAATATTGAAAGATTCGTCATTGTGTCCTAGAGTAAGGATAATTGGGGCGGACTTAGATATCATGTCATCATCATAAACAAAAAATTTAAGCAAGAGCATCTCATCAACATGAAGAACCACTACGTTGCGAGACAATGCAATAGATCCATCATCTCCGAGTGCGATCCTAGTGCCTGACACTTCACTATCATATAGCACCGCATCACCTTCATTTTTAGTACCACAGGCCTTAATAATTCCCAAGAAATTTGATGACCCTTTCAAAATATTGATTCCGATAGCGACTTGCACAGTGAAGTGAGCAGTTGTATATGCCAGTTCTAATGTACTTAGCCAACTGGAAAGCAGGACTCTTTTGGTTTGCCCTGAATTAGATGTTTCGGGCGCTTCTGTAAAACCGTTGCTAAAAATTCTATCATTTGATTCTCCCATATTGCCCCTAATCTTCAAGTTGATTTCAAAATCAATGCTCTCATCTGTAGGCCCTACATATGGTGCGATCAGATTCAATATTTCACCCTGCATACAAATACACAATTCAGGAAAAATAATCTAACTATTTTTTTAATATGATGCCATAAATATAATTACTCGCTTAGTAAAAATATCAACTAGCACCAAACTCCTCGATATAGTGGCAGCAGATGAAATTATTCTTCGTCGAGATATATAAAACATATTTGCAAGCTGATAGTGAGATGACAAACTGATAGTGCACTAACCGAAGATTTAATGAGCTGGCAATCGTCTCTGTCGCGTCGAAAGATGTAGACGCACTTCAAGTGTTCTCTTATTAGAACAGTTCCAAAAAGATTAATAGGGAAGCCTATATCAGATTCCAGTATCTTTACATGAAGAACATACGGTGACTCAACCAACTCTTGCTCTGTCAACGCATCAAGCGGTCTTCTTTCAGGGCCAATCGTCGCTGAAAAGTTCAGCGAATTGAACCAAGGAATCATTATAAGTGGGAAACTATTTTCACTATAAGTTATATATCATATCGTTGGCGAATTGTCACTGGGAAGGTAAAGATCATCATTACGCATTTGGTTATAAGCACGAGGTTTGAATTGCTTACCATCTTCGTCGAGATGTTTGAGCAACTCAGGTGTCGCAGCATGGCCTACGAAGGTGCGGTAGGAATTAAAGCGTCGCTGCTTGGGATCGTATTGTCGGCACTGATCATTGTGGATGCTGACGATCCATGACTTGTACTCATCCTCATCCTCATCCTCATCCTCCGTCCCCTCCGAGTCCGCGAACCGCGCAGACAGCTTGAACCGCTTCGCCGCTCTGATCTCGACACCCCCGCCGGCGCCACCGGCCGCCGTCGCCGCCGCTGGCTGCGGGTGCTTCTCCTCCGCGTCTCCTTGCCCCCGCGTTTCATGGGACTGGGACGACGACTCGGCCGCACTCGCCGCCATCTACCACAGCAACGGCGTCGCCTGCTTCGATCGGGTTACAAAGTTTTTACAACAAACATTAGACGTAGCATTATGGATTTGTTTATGGTAACCGGCGTGCGTGCGCCGTGGGACACACGGGACTTTCCACCTTTTCCGCCGTGTGTATTGGTGACAACTCGATCGGTGTAAATAAACCAAGTAGCAACAAACAATATATACCTAAATTGGTCAATGGAACACGAGGAAGATATATATAGATATCTCGTAACGCATGCATGGCGACGCCGTCGTGCCCCCTTACGATCGACGACCTCCTGCACGTACTCCTCCATCTGGACCCTCGTTCCATCGTCCGATGCGCCGCCGTCTCCAAATACTGGCGGCGCGCCGTGATCGGCAACGCCTCCCAAGTGCGCCGCCACGCCAAACGCCAAGCGGATCGCCGCCTCCTCCTCGGCTACCACTACCGGGAGGTCTACCCGGGCAGGCTCCGCTTCAGCGCGCGGTCCACGTGGTCGCCGTCCACCGGCCACCAGCACTGGTCAGATCACCTACCCGTCCCTTCCTTCGCACCGGCGGCGGCAGCAGCAGATGGTGGCCATCCGGAGAGGATGTACGCGCAGCTCGCGTGCAGCGACGCTCTCCTCCTCGCGTGCCGGGGCATCCTGGAGGAGGTCTCGGTGTACAGCCCCCTGACAGGATTCCACGCGACCATGCCTCGCTACGACGAGCTCTTGACGGACACGTACTTCCTGCACTCCGTGCATGGCGACGAGATGAATCCCACCCCAAACTCCTTCCAGGTGCTCGCCGTGGAGGTCGAACCCGAAGGCGAGCTGGCTCTCCAAAACTACAGCTCGGAGACCGGCGCATGGGGCCCGGTCATCCGCCCCGTCAACGACAAGGTCCTGATGCCCAGAGTGATCCACTATCCCGTCGCGGCTATTGAGTGCCAGGGTGCCATCCATTGGTTATGCGGCTGCTGGCCTTCCTGTGACGAACCGCGCCGTCGGTGTTCGCTGGAGGGTTACGACAACATCACGCACAGCGTGGCGGTGGACATTAGCACGGGCCACGCCTGGATGACGAGACTACCGAAGCAGTGCGTGATGAGCAGTGACAACGTATCAAACAACAAGATGCTCGTTCTGGCAACGGCAGCTGATGGGCGGCTCGCCCTTCTCCGGAGGGAGGATGCATGCACGAAGGTGACGATATGGGTACACGCTGAAGAAGACAGTGGCCGTGGTAGTTGTGGCAGCGACGGCGACGACGGCGAGGCGAGATGGGTTCTTTCACGGTCTTTTGACGTCCGGAAGCTCGTCGAGCATGCTGGTCTGGCACATTTTCGACCGGAGCACAAAGATTGGGCAGATTTGGAGGTTAGATTGGAGTGGTTCTGCCGCAGGAGCCGCTGCGTGGTTATCTGGGTTCCGTACCTCGGGTTGTTTGTTCTTGACCTGGAGAACATGCAGATGCAGAGAGCTGCTGGGGATAGCCAGACACATGTTTGGCCCTATGAGATGGACCTCACGGTTTGCTACTCCTCTTTGAAACAGTACCATTGATCAATCCCCCTATCAACATTGAGAATTTTTTTGGCGGCCAAAATAAAACCGCCACAATATATTACTCGTTACCTTTGAGGTTAAAACGTCTGGCCACCAATGATATACTTATTTTCTTAAAGGTTCTTCGGATTCTTGTAGTGTCTACGCTTTTAGTAGGTTGTGGCTAAGGTACATGTGTCCAACACGCGATATGCTATGGAGGATGAGGAAATGAAATTTTAGAGTATTCAGAGAGATAGAGACTCGGTAATCAATCATTTTGCTCATGGTATATATTAGAGTCAAACTCAAGAAAGTGTTTTGTGCCCCCTCATGCTCTCTTCTTGCTTGTGGTTTAAACAATAATAAAGAAAATATAAAAAAATGGCAATAGAGATTTCATATTTCTTTCAGTAATCATAGCAAGACGTCCATAATAACTTTGTAAATAAGGGGATTGGGAGTTTACACGAAAGAATTGATGGTGAGAATAAGATAAGAATTTAATTTTTAATCCCAATATCTTGTTTGATAGAGGTGGTGGGAATTGAGAGATGGAAGGGGAGGAGAGGATAGAGAGAAGAGAGATGGAAGACCTGACATGTGGGCCCAAGGGAATTTTAGAACTTTTATATGATTTCTCTCTCTATTCTAACCGAAAATTATTATTTTAATTGGTGCGTTGTCCACCAGCAAATATCCAACTATTTTAATTGGTGCATTGTCCACCAGCAAATATCCAACTTTTGATAGTGTCTTCCCTAAAAGTCACTTCGTGCGGCGTCATACAGCTAAAAACATAAAAATCACGATGTCCTGTAGCAAAATTTGCCAAAACTTTATGATTTTGGCACGTCAAATTGACCAATATAGCGAAGCATTGGGTCAAATAAAACCATTTTGTTTGTAGACTTGGGCACCTCTTCATAAGCCAATTTCCAAATATATTTTGGCCACTACAATGTGGGGGAATATTGAAAACAAAGAAGATATAATTTGGGCTACATGTTATTATCAATATTTCACTTTGGACTACCCTTCAACTTAAGTTTTTATTTTAGATTGGGTAAAATTGTGTTTGTTCACTTTGAATCACCCCTATTATCTTCTCAAGCATATGAACGATATTGAGTACATCGGCTCGTACTCATCAATAAACTCTCACAGCTATAAGAAAGATCATTTTACTTTTGGTATATAACAAGTTGAATATAAATGGATAATAGAGTTAAGGGTGATCCAAAGCGCCGCAAAGTTAAAATTACCTGATCCAAAGTAAAAAAACATTGGTTAAAGGAATTAAACATCGATAATAAAAAAATGTTTACAGTGAAATTTAGAATATACAGTATACACGAGAGGGCGGCCTGTGGACCTGCTCCCTCCGTCTCAAAATAAGTGCAGTTTTATACTGTTTACGTCCAACGTTTAACCGCTCGTCTTATTTGAAATTTTTCTATGATTAGTATTTTTATTGTTAGTAGATGATAAAACATAAATAGTATTTTATGTGTGACTAACTTTTTTTAATATTTTCATAAAATTTTCGAATAAGACGAACGATCAAACCTTCGACATGGATTTCTACGGCTGTACTTATTTTGAGAGGGAGGTAGTACCCACCACTGTCGTTCTCGTTCAGCAGGTCAAACAAGAACAGATCGCATCAATCAAACCGCCGGATCAAACCGGGCACAGAAAAACAAAGAAAACCAACGAAAAAAACGACGCAACGCGGCGCGGCAGAGAAGACAACACCGCACCACCACCCCCGCCTCCTCCTCCTCCTCGTCGCCGTGCCCGATGAAGGCATGAAGCTGCCCCCGAGACATGCCTCTTAGCCCACGTGCGCCCTCCCGCGTCTCGCCCAAGCCCCTTGCGCCGCAGGCATGCCGTTCCCGCGCCGCGACATCGAGGCCGCTGGCGCCGGCTCCGGCTCCGGCGACGACGACTCGCCGGCCGCCAAGAGGGGCAAGCCAGAGGCCGCGGGGGCGCGCCCCTCGCTGACGCGGACCGAGGCGGCCGCGGCCGCCTCCGTGCTGGTGCTCTTCCTCGTCGGGATCTTCTGCGTCTTCCGCGCCGCGCCCCGCCGCGAGTTCGAACAGATCCTCCGCCTCCCCCGCAGCCTCGCCGACGTCCGCCTCCTCAAGTAAGCTTCCCCCTCTCCGCTTTCTCCCACCAGATCGACCTGGATCGCAGTCATTCTTGTGCGAGAAGAGCAGTTTGGATCGTCCGTCCAACCATCAACTGTTTCGGGGGTGCAAATTTTGGGCGTGATTTGAGTTTGGATTTGATTGCAATAATTTATTGGTGACACGAGATTGAACATGTTTGAATGTAAAGAATCTGAAACTGTTTTAGATTGTGCAAGAATTAGATAATCATGATACGAACAGCAAGTGGCTACTCGTTTGATGGGACTTGGGAAATGATAAAATGGGTTTTATGGTTGATCTTACATTGTCAGAAAAACGATCCAACCCTTCAAGTCAAATAGTTGATCTTAAATTGTCAGAAAAATGGGACTAACCAAATAATTGCTGGAGATTAGCAGGGTTAGGAGTTCGGCTGTGAGATTTTGACTAAGTCCCTTGTTGTGGACAATAATTTCTTTTAGGATCATGCAGTATTCAATGTGCAAAATATAAATATACTTGCAACATTTGGTCGGGTACAATATTCTTATGCGTCTAATATGAGTAAGGTTACTCTGCAGGTCGTCCATGGATACATTTCTCATTGTTTGTTAGTTCAATTGTAAGTTTTATCCATGGCCTAATCAGAACTGTAAGCAGAACTGTAGGCAGTAAAACTCTGACTAACATAACGTGTAACCTCTATATTGCACTCTATACTGCACTGACTTGCATGTGATGTTTGTATTTGTTTTTGACTTACATTTTAGATTTTCTGCCTGGTTGCTCATGTTTCCTTTCAGTTCACTTGATCATGTGATAAGATGAATGAGAAGCTGAAATACTAATTCATCACTTATTTTGATGTACTCCTACATTTAGTTATACCTGTCGGTCACTTATAATATTCTTCTACAGAAAGTTCTGGTTATATATCATGCCTTTTCGTTACAAGAACGTCTATGCGTTATTGGTATAAGTCAGTGTTGGCAGAAATATCTGTCTTGTTTCATTCTGAATATAGACTGTAGGAAATACATGTTCAAGTTTCTACGACTGATCTTCTGCTTGAATTTTATCATGGAATAACAAGGAAATTATCCATCTTCATATTCATAGGGATGGGCATGTCTATTTATTTACTAGTAAAACGATCATAGAGTATGATAGCAAATTAGCAAGTGAAAGACATCAGAATGACGAAGTCTTCACCACTGACACTTATCCCTGAAACTTGCAGAGACAATCTTGCGGTGTATGCAAGAGATTATCAGGCTAATTTCATACTGGGATATTGCTCAATATACATCTTTATGCAAACATTTATGATCCCTGGAACAATATTCATGTCTTTACTTGCTGGAGCTCTTTTTGGGGTGGTTAAAGGTGGTATTTTGGTCGTATTCACTGCAACAGCAGGTGCTTCGTCTTGCTACTTTGTCTCCAAGTTGATTGGGAGGCCATTGATTAGCTGGTTGTGGCCTGAAAAACTGAGGTATTTCCAGTCAGAGGTAATCTTCTGCTTTTAATAATGTGACCTCATGTTTGTTCACTGACTTCCTTTTTCTTGAGATTCTTTGGCAAATGCTAATTTCACACATTTTCTTCATTTCATATAACAGATGCTTTTGTTTCTATGCAGATTGCCAAAAGGAAAGAAAAGCTATTGAATTACATGCTTTTTCTTAGAATTACACCAACTTTACCCAACACATTCATAAACATGGCGTCACCTATTGTTGACATACCTTTCCACATTTTCTTTGCTGCAACACTAATTGGTCTCATCCCAGCATCTTATATCACTGTAAAGGTAAATACCTTCTCAATAGTAAATTTAATGATCGTATTGCCTTCTCAATAATAGGTTTAATGATCTTATTGTTTGACTCAGCTTTGCCTTTACTTTAGAGCAAGGCAAAAATCTCAACTAGAATCCATGTTGTATGTTAAGAATTCGCATTAAAGATGGGCTAGTGCTTAAGTACTGATTCAAGTATCATGATTTATTATCTTAATACTATAGCATTGCTCTTTTGCCAAGTTTTCGGGCACAACACTACAACAGGAGATGACGGTGTATTATGTTTCATGAACTGTCTTTGCACTTTGCACGTCTTCTCCGTTGACTTCAGGATTTACTTAGTTGTGGACGGGTTTGGTGGTTGATCTGATTGTATTATCTGTTTCCAGTGATACCATTTTATCTACTCATCACCATTCTTACTGCTGTCTTGCAGGCTGGTAGGGCACTAGGCGATCTAAGATCACTTAGGGAACTGTATGACTCAAAAACACTAGTAATTCTATTCCTCATTGGAACTGTTGCTGTTGCTCCAACGATTCTGAAAAGGAAGAGAATATACGAATGATGCCACTAAAAAGCATCTAAACAGTGTATTAGTAGAGCACTCCAGAAGTGTATTAGTTTTTTTTCCCTTTCTTTGTTGATATTGTATACCTATTCAATTTAGCTGTAGAGATGTAGTAGTAACATGATGAATGTTTTCCTCAATAATAGATGACGCTAAGCTGTTGCATCTGTTGCCCCAATGTTCTTATAAATCCCCACGTCCCAATTAACGATGCGGTGGAACTATCTGGTTGTTGTGGTTTTACAGTAAATCTTACTGCTCCCAATTGGATGGGCAACCTTATCCGTCGTTTTGAAATGATGTGTTATTTGCCACCAATTGTCCTATTATCTCCATTTATTTTATTTTCACTTGAGACATTTCTGCAAGATGATATTCAGAACGTTCCCCACAGATTATCCTAATACAAAATGCAATACGAATTAAACTTACATTTAGTAGTACCTAAACTGTTACATCTAGGATTATAAACGTGCTGAAATTCTTTATCCTCCCACAAAAACCCCAGAAATTTATATTCAGAGGAAGCTTATGCAGTTCTTTATCCTCCCACAAAAACCCCAGAAATTTATATTCAGAAGAAGCTTATGCAGCATAGCTGATCCTAAAGGCTACAACATATTCTTCTTTTTTTCCTAGAGAGAGGAGAATATTTTCTTTCGTGTTTACTCCCTCCATCTTAAAAAAAAGCTTAAAAAAAAGAAAGTCAGGAACATAACTTAAAAAAGCTTTAAAAAAAAAGAAAGTCAGGAACATAACTTAAGACTGTGTTCGGGAGGAACTCACCTCTCGCGCACGTAAAACGGAGCGAAGCATTTTCTTATGATTAATTAAGTATTTATTAATTGTTTTTGAAAAATGATTTTTTAAAAGCAACTTTTGTGTAGAAATCTTTAAAAAAACACATCGTTTAACCGTTTGAAAAGCGTGCATGCAGAACACAAGGGAGATGTGTTGGAAAAAGTGGGAAAAGAACACAGCCTAGTACTAACTTAATAGCCTAGTACTAACTTAGGGTGTGTTTAGTTCACGCTAAAATTGGAAGCTTGATTGAAATTAGAACGATGTGACAGAAAAGTTGGAAGTTTATGTGTGTAGGAAAGTTTTGATGTGATGTAAAAGTTGGAAGTTTGAAGAAAAAAATTGCAACTACGGCGTTATCTAGATATGGAGTACTCCTAGCTTGTTCTTTTTTCTTTTTCTTTTTTTAACAGAAGGAGTAAACTAGCGACTTGACCTGTTTGGGCCGTACCCTGCAAGGCCCAACCCAAGAAGTCGCCGATACAGTGGTAGCCTACAGGTGCGGCTACCTTATCGGCTTCCTTCCCGTTGGGTTCTATCCGAGACAGCACCGAGAGCTCCGGGAGAGAAGCGCACGCACCTCCGTCCCTCGTCGGGAGCGCAGAAATGGCGACCCTCTCGATGGTCTCCGTCCCCATCGCCACCTCCTCCCTGCCCCTCTCCGCCCGAGGCCGCAGCTCCTCCGTCTCCTTCCCCGTTCCCAAGGTGAGAAGCAAAGCCACCCCTCCCCCCGCCTCCCCCCTCCGCGCCCACTTCTTGTTCGGCCATTTGCTCGCTCGTCCTGTTCCTTGGTTCTGTGCGATTGATATGTGATTCACGCATGACGCATCGTACATCCGTATCACTTATTGCAACTCAACCCCTGGGATCGTTTTGTTATCTTTGCCATCTTGGAGGTTGGGGAGGCTAGTGGCCGTGCTTTGTGTACTACAGTACTAATTTTGAGTATGTGCAATTCAGTAGTTTTTTTTCCGTGATGTTGGAAGAACAGTGTTCCTGTGCAATTTTAGAATTATTGGCATCTGTGAGGAACTAGTATTTATATGCTTGTATGCTTATGAGTTTGAATCTCTGCCCCTAGCACATATCATGTTGGAAGAATGGATAGTGTTACGAAGTAGTATTTCTTTGGACAGCAGAGTGTATATGTAATTCATGTAGGGACTAGGAATAGCAAAGAAGGTTAATTATGCATATAGGATGTAAAAAGAATCGTAATTCCTTGTTAGTACTCCCTCAGTTTCATACTATAAGTAGTCAAAGTTCTTTAGGTTTGACCAAGTTTAAAGAAAAAATTTCCCCACCCCATTATCTTTACTTGCCCAGTCATTTGTAGGCCTGTGCTTTTAACTGTGTTGTGGTTTTGATTCTTTTTTTTTTATTATTGGGTACTGGACAGAAAGGGGGTATTGGTCATGGTGGCCTGCGGATCGAGTGCATTCGTATTGGTGGAGTGGAGATCCCGAACCACAAGAGGGTAGAGTACTCACTGCAGTACATCCATGGCATTGGGCGGTCACGCTCCCGTCAGATCCTCTTGGACCTCAATTTTGACAACAAGGTCACAAAGGACCTCTCCGAGGAGGAAGTCATCACTCTCCGTAAGGAGGTTACCAAGTACATGATTGAGGGAGACCTTGTAATGGCCCTATCCCTTGCTAATTCATCACTTAACTTTTTTTCTGTAATTTTGGTGATTAGTATGGTTACCCTACTTTGGTACTTCCTCCGTTTCACAATATAAGTCATTCTAGCATTTCCCACATTCATATTGATACTAATAAATCTAGATAGATATATATGTCTAGATTCATTAGCATCAATATGAATGTGGTAAATGTTAGAATGACTTACATTGTGAAACGGAGGGAGTAGCATGTTGAAGATTCCTTGAAATTTGGTACCCTTAAACTGATCGTTCTGAAAAAAAAAAGACTCTGTAGTTCTTTTCCCATTTCTGTCATCGTGGATTTATGTTGTGTTGCTAAAATAGAGTTCTGATGTGTTTGCCATGCTTTACAGAAACGGTTTAATCGTGTGGCGATTGAGAGGTTGAAGGAGATTAGGTGTTACAGGGGCATCCGCCACAAGCTAGGGCTGCCAGTTCGTGGACAGAGGACGAAGAACAATTGCAGGACGCTGAAGGGAAGGAGGGCTTCTGTTGCGAAGAAGAAGTCGCCTGCTTCCCAGGAGGAATAAGACACATTGCCATGTATTTACCTTTGGTTCTTTGCCTCTTGTTTATTTTTTGTGTTCTGCTTGACCACGCTCTTGTCTGGTATTATGAGATTTTATGTTGGTGTCGTCATAGATGAATCACGGGTTGTGATCTGTCACTGAAAAAGTTATATTTGTCACCTGTCTTACATGAACTGATGCTAAATTAAGGTTATACTATGTTTTTCAGTCCATCATCTTGCTGTCTCTCTTCTGTTGTCATATCTATGCTTGACCGACCTGTTCCTGATGAATTAACGTATCGCCAGTTTTCTGTCCATTTGTTCCACATGCCACCGTCAGATCTAATGCCTTGTTAACTTTACAAGCTGAAAGAGGAGTATCAGTGTAGCTGAATAATAATATTAGGAACCTGCCTTGCTGATAGCAGCAGACGGGGCTTTTAACTATTTGCCACTCTTACGAATGGTGCTTAACGATTTGCTACTAGACCCACATGTCATAGACACATGAGGGCCCACATGTTATTGGCAGGGTGTGGCAAATCGTTAATTGCCATGTCACAAGAGTGGCAAATAGTTAAATTTCCCGCAGCGGACACCAGTCGAGATTTTGGTTTTTTGTGAAGAGATGATTTAAACTTGAGTTACCAATTACCATGATTACCATGCGTGTGGTTGGAACATGGAACTTTCTGGAGAGAGCTGCTCGGCTCAATCTTGGCTTGTTCACTTTGTTGTCCAAATCAACCATACCAAATTTTGTTACATTTCGGTACTACTGGCTTTGTTTGGTTTGATATCTTACCAAATTTTGGTAGAGGTTTAAGAGGAAGCTTCTAAGACTCCCAAATTTTGGTTTAGTAGTAATGGTTGAAGTATGTTTACTTTATTGTTCTATAAAAATTTGGCAATACCGAAATTTGGTAAAGTTAAGTGACAAAAAAAACAGACCCTTAATAGAGCGACAACAGAAGAGCCATTACAACAAGAAGAAATGAAACGTTGTACTCAGAAAAATTAAAGATAATGATGCTCTAACGGTCCTGCTTGTAGAGTTGTAGGGATGTTGTGTTTCTTGTTTGTCAATTGTCATATGTCAGTGAGATCAGATAAACTAACAATTTTCTGGCAAGCTGACAAAAATGTGATACAATTTTTTTAATTATAAGATATCCATTGATTGATCGATTGAGCACGTTCAGATTTCAGAAACAGTTCGGTTTATCCAATACCCTGATTGTTATTTAACTCTGAGCCGCGACCATGTCTCCTGGTTTTGCATGGCTCCAAAACAAGCTCGAACCATGGTTAATCTTGAACCACGAACCATGATTAACCTTGAACCATGGTTCAGTCTGTTGACAAGTTTATATACCATGGTCCTATATGGTAGAACTTTAACTCCTAAATTTAGCTATATGAGTTACTCCCTCCGTTTCACAATGTAAGTCATTCTAGTATTTTCCACATTTATATTGATGTTGACATCAATCTAGATTGCATCTCACCTAGAATAACTAGGTTCATCAACATCAATATGAATGTGGAAAATACTAGAATAACTATATCTATCTAGATTCATCAACATCAATATAAATGTGGAAAATGTTAGAATGACTTACATTGTGAAACGGAGAAAGTAGGTCTAAAGTGGAGTTGTGGAACTACCTAAACCCAACTCTAACTCTCTAGTTTATTTTGTGATAGAATCTCACCTAGCTCCGCTTCTATTTTAGGTAAAGCTGAAACTGTTTGACTGAGCTGAAAGTGAAGCTGATAGAGCTGAAAGTGAAGCTGTGCTATATATGCCATATTTGTTTTCATAATTCAGCAACACGAGCAGAGCAACTTCACCACAGGAGTCCGTCTGCCGCGGCGGCGCGCGCTATCTCGTCCACTCGAAAACCGCGCGACTCTCCTTCGAGAAAACGCAGCCGCAGCCGAGCCCCCACGTTTGCCGCTCTCCTGCAATCGCGCACACGAATAAGGAAAATAATACTAATAGAATAGTAGTAGAATATACTCTCACGCTTTGCATTGCTACGCTTCCGCTCCCGTGCCGTGCCATGGCGCCGCTCGTGTCGCTCTCGCTCCCCCTCCCGTGCGCGGTGCCCGCCTCGTCGCTCCCTCCGCGCGCGGAGCCAGACGCCTCGTCGTCCTTCCACCCGCCCGCGTCGTCTTCGTCGTCGCCGCGCGGCGGCCGGCTTGCGCTGGCCGCGGCGCAACCGGGCTCCGGGCGCCGTTGGGTAGGGAGGTGGAGGGCGGGCGTGTCGTCCTTCTCCTTCCTGGCGCCGTTCTTCGCGGGGAACAAGGAGAAGGAGAACCGCGAGAAGGCGGAGAGGCTCAAGGAAGAGCTCCTCGCCACCATCAGGCCGCTCGACCGCGGCGTCGACGCCACGGCGGAGGACAAGGAGCGCGTCGAGAAGGTGAGCGGGCGGTCGCCTCGCCTCATCCTTTTCTCCTCAATTTTTCGTGAATTGGGACGTACGAGTAGTAGATTAGTTTGTTGCTTTGCTTGCCTCAGATTGTTCAGCAACTGGAGGAGGTGAACCAAGTGAAGGAGCCACTCAAGTCTGATCTCCTCAACGGCAAATGGGAGCTTCTCTACACCACCTCAGAATCCATACTGCAACCACAGGTCCCTTCTCATCTCAAAAAGAAAAAAAAAATATGTTCTGTTCAAGCATGCAATACATTGCGGATAAAAACCAAAAATGATAGTTGTGTAGTCAGGCTAACCTTTCAGATTGTCAAATTCTGTTCGCTTACTGATGCAGAGGCCAAAGTTTCTGAGGCCGTTTGGGACGATTTACCAAGCAATCAATACTGACACTTTAAGAGCCCAAAATATGGAGACGTGGCCCTATTTTAATCAGGTGATTTCCTCCTAAACTGATTCCTATGTGCCTGTAACATGAAGAGATGATCATTTTGTAATACCTTTCTTTGTTTTGAAGAAAAGAATTCTTTCATAGGAATGATATGCATTATTGCTTTTTTTTTTGAAAATTTTATGCATTATTGCTTTTTATCTGGAATGTTAACTTAAATTTTGAGATCAGCCATATGTGTTATGGTCTTAGTCTTATGGATAAGCAACTCCTGTTCTTTTGCTCTTCTAGACAAAGGAACGTGCTAGCTGAAACACTGGTGAAGTCTTACTTGATTCGAGAAGTGTTCATTTCCTTCTTGACTTCTTCCCACCTTTCTGCTTCTCAACTTCTTGCTCTTCTTGTACCTGCATAGACACACATTTGTATGTACTAACTTGGGCAAATGTGTTCCAATTATTTGCTTGATCACTTGGCATAATATATATGTAATGTTGTCTCGCTACAAATTTGTTTCTGAATAGCATACCCCATGCTGTTGGTAAATTTTCTTACTATTAGCTAGAGATATTATTTCTCTGGAGCATGGTAATGTACAAATATTTACCTCTGCAGGTTACTGCCAACTTGGTACCTCTCAATTCTAGAAGAGTGGCAGTTCGGTTTGATTACTTCAAAATATTTAATTTGGTGAGACATCTATCTCTTATCAATTGTACTTCATTCTATCAATAGTTCATTCTTAAAATGTTCACTCTCATTCTATCTCAACGGTTCATTCTTAAAATGTTTGCACTCGTTCTATCTCAATGGTTCATTCTGAAAATGTTCGCTCTTTTGTTATACCTTGCCAAATTGCCAATTAACTGGCAGGTAGTGACTAGTGAGCATATAGGCATGCTAGCCTGCTACTTCTAAGTAACCATGTGGTTTTGACACGCAGTGATGTTATATTGTTATGATATAGCCCTTTCATTTCCTTGCTAGTGATGTACTACGTAGTATTGTTGTTTGTCCTTCAGTTATGATAAAGTTTCCATGCATGTTAAAGTTGGTGCGTATATAACATAGTCAAATTTCATGCTGCAGTCATGAGTTACTAATTATATACTTCTGTTATGATTAGATTTCAATCAAAGCACCTGGCAGTGGTAAAGGTGAACTAGAAATTACATATCTTGATGAAGAGCTCAGGTCAGCTTCTTTCACCCTATGAATAGCTTTTTAAGTAGTGGAGTTTGATCATGTACCTACCCACTAAAATCGGTTAGTTTTCTCTTGTTTCTACATTTAATTTTAGATCGTTTCTTGTCAAACTAATTTCCCAAAACCAGAAATCCTTTACCCTGCAAATTAAGTATGACAAAAATGCCAATAGCCATACACTTGATATAGGCATCAGAATATATGTAATTTTTGTCTAAAAAAAGAATATATGTGATTTGTAGCTTTTGAGTTTCAAGATAGAATGGTTTGCCAAAAACAAGAAATATGACCATACCAAGAAAATGCAGCCGGGGTTCTATCCTGTAAAGGAAGAGATAGGACCCTGATGAGAAGGGTGGTGCTGACCTTGTCATCGGCTAATCTAGGTTCTTTAGCAACATTTTTCTGTTATGTTTTGTGGTTTTTATTTTTATTTCCTGTTATCGCCACTACACTTTAGTTTCCATGTCGGCTTAACCATTTTGTTTTCGGTTCTTTTGTTCTCCTCGCAGCTGTAATTTTTTCCCCTCATGATGATGTCCAGTTGATAGACATGGTTACTAGTCGCTAATGCAGTAATCAATGATTAAGTTCACTAATATTGCAACAAATTGCTGGTTTCAGGGCCTCAAGAGGCGATAAGGGGAATTTGTTCATACTGAAAATGGTTGACCCAACATACAGAGTTCCATTGTAATAATTTCTAAATGCTGATGTGCACTACAGCTACTATGGCAATTAGGTCCCAGCTGTCCCAAGTATTCTTTTTCAGTCCTGATGTATTCTAAGACATGTAAATATGAATATTTGAGCATAGTTCTTATAGGATACAATACATCAAAAACTGAATCAACTCGATATGTATAGAGCAATGGGATGGTCAGTTCATTCATCCAAATTCTATAATGAATATCTGCATAACTAGGCATAGCAGAACCAGATAACCATAACATAGTAATTATACTAACCTTTTTCTCATGTCCCCAACTGACATGAAAAAGGTTCGATATAGTTTTGTTTGTGTCAGACTAGTCCAATCTACTAGTAGAGTTCCAGATTTCTCCATTCTCTGCATCAAAGTAATGACGTCTTTGGGCTTCTATCTTGTCTTCAGAATGTAGGAGTATGTCATAATTTTTGAAGAGCGGAACTTTTTTTCCGAGGGGACAGCAGCAGCACTTCTACCTTGACCCAGTGACTACTGATTGTGTATACATATTTGAGCTTGTTGCACCCTATAATTTGCTGTCCACTAACACTAACATATTTTGCTGGTGCCACCATCGCATTTTGTGAAGTGAATAATAATAAACTATCCACTAAGCCAACATCAAAACGGCAGCAAATGTAAAGTTAAAACCCACACTTTATAGGTGAACAATGAATTTTCCATATCACCAGTTCACAGTTCTTGTCCCGATGCGAGCCCTTCAGGGCAGCTTATATCCCAATGTTGAATTAACAAAGCTATTCTAAATTTAGAGATTGTCTACTTAGTACTATCCTATTTGAACATTGTTGCAACATTGTTACATTCTATTTGCCATCACGATGACCTGGAGCTTCACAATAAAATGGTTACTCAATTATTGTTCATCTCCAGCCGAGAGCCTAAAAGAAGCTTCAGCCCTTACTTCTTCTAGCTTGCCCAAAAGTTCCTTCATGAACTCGGATTTAGTCCCATGCGTTATGCGAAGTATATCTGCTGCCCTGGTTAAAGACATCAGAGCATCCTCTGTGTACTCAAGCAACCTGCAACAGGAACATCTAGATGTAACTGTAAACATCATGAGTGTGACCCTTTAAGGGTACAAATATTCAAGACTCAAGGAATTTCGAACAGACTTCTGGGTAAGCTATTGACAGCATTTCACTGAAGCTTTTGAAAAAGCATGTCCCTATCCAGCTATCCTACTAGCATTAATTCAGCTAACTTGTTTTAGTAACATGAAATAGCCAAAGGCCAAAGCTTATACTGGACAATGAAAGTTGTTACTCCGCGATATATGAACACAGTAAGTAGGTGAATAGGGAAAAGTATTCCATACCATTCAAGCTTTCCGCAAGTATAGAACTGTAATCCAATCATTGGGTGAAAAGGTGGGTAAATTCCTGGCAGAAGTGCAACAACATTAGTGATCATTGAGTTTTATGTAAGTGTGAGACTGCACGCTGTAAGAAGAGAAGTGCCTTACTTTCATAAACTGGAATTGTCAATCTGCAATACATCAATGCAGTCTGCCAATCTTGTAACTCCATATATATCTGCACAAATAATAGGTGGTTAATCATACTAGATGGTGTGCTCTGTACCCTAGCAGGTTATTTTTACTGTTAATGCTGAAAATATACCTTCAAGAGTGTTTCCCGTGTGTGAAGCAAAGTGATTGACAAAGGATGGTAAAGCTTCCGCTCTAGCTCTTCAATGGTCTTGTACATAGAACCTACCTCACTGTTATCTACTGCCCAAAGTTAAGGTAGCATTTTACAAAATCACAAAAAAATATGATGCAATAATTATATACATTTGCCTCAGATAGCATCTAGTAATAGTGAAAAAGGATACTTCCAGATGAAACTAAGGAAGAGACTTTGTCAGATAATAGTAGTACATCGCTAGCCATCTTTTGTAACTCTTCCCCATCTCTAGAAGTGCTACATTTCTGGCATGTATAACCTTTGTTTCCTACAGATGTTAAATCCAGATAAAAATGTAAGATCAATGATAACTGAAACAGTATTAAAGCTGCAGCTGACATTATGTTTGAATAATCCAATCTATTACATCTCTTCAGTTAGTATTTTTCCTTCGTGATGTTAACCAACCTGCATTAGGCAGAAGAAATCCATCACACTTTTGGTCATTGCATCTGTATCCCTCAAGGAGCGCATCTTCCTCAGAATCCTGTAAGGTTGGGGAAAAAATTATAGCTAGAGAACACTTCATTATCAAGAATGTGTCAGCTTCCCATAGGACATCCAAGAATAGTAAGCAATGAAATCAAAAACCTTAACACAACGGGGACATGTGCAAGTGAAGTAGTAGTGCTTGAGATCGTCCTGTCTCTTCATAGTGGTTGCCGCAGTTTCAATGTAACTTATTGATACCTAACCAAAGATGCGTAACTGACATTGCCCAGAGAAGAAACCCCAAGAAACATGGATTGCAAGCAGAGGAATATATGATAATAAGGAAAAAAACAAAAGTATATTCATTACCTCCTCATTTTTACTTATAGGTTGCAATGCACGAACATATGCTGTCCGACCTTCAAATATCAAAACTGCATTTGGTACACAACTAAGTATACCAGGAAAGGGTAGATGCAATAATAATTATTTATTAAATGATAAAATCGGAGGAAGATGCTAAACGATGAATAAAGGAATAGTATATCACCTGTGGTTAATAATAGATAAAACAGGGTATAGTCCAGTCCCAAGGGGCCTCAGTTCAGGATCACATATGGTATGAGCGTTGCAGGCAAACTGCACATATGAGGCAGAGGATATATTATTCATGCTTACTTCTAAAGGTCTAGCCAGATAATCACCAAAATAGTCCTAGCCACTGCTTAAGGGTGAGACTGGAAGACAACAAATATGAAAAACGGAAGAATAAACATGGACAGAACAATTATTCTTTTTTTTTCCAAAGCTTCTTGGCTTATTCTGGTTTATTTTTCAAAAGGCAGATTCAAGACACGATTCTACTATACTCAAATAAGAGTATAAGACCACAGGGAGGTGTCCTAGATAACTTGGATCCTCATGGTTTTGGAACAAAATTAATCACATCCAACTAGGTCCCAATAGGTTTTAGATGGAAGGTACAAGCAAAATCTCAAAAATAACACCAGGAAACAACTGTATTTTTTAAGCTCAATTATTCATTGGATACATTGTCTTCTATAGTAGTTAAAACATTTTTTATAACCTTATGACTTTGAGTAGCATTACCTTGGAAAAGGTATGTGTAATTTCCTTAAGATCAAGCTCGAATGAAGGAAGAATCAGTTGGACAAGATTGGCCATCTGAGCATATAAAACCAGTTGATTTTTATCAACCTCGGAGATGTCTATATTATGCGGTCAATAAAACATTCACAAAATCAAAGTCAATATATTTGTCATGGATCAAATGTATCAAAAGGGAAGGATACGGGATTCTAATGCATCCACTAGATTGTAGTTATCTGTTCCTGAAGATGGAATAGCCTGGCAAAACAACCAATATCAAGTTACCAACATGCAGAAAACTTCAACATGCCATGTATACAAAAATATCATCATTGACATGATGCATTATATTTTTACATCAATCAACTAGACAATACCTTGTCATCCTGCAGTTTTCTTCTAAGTACAAGCCGCACCATCAAACGAATTGTGGGAGTAAGCATCTTCTTTCTATCCTCTGTAAGCGCGGCGATTGCTCGACATTCAAGTTGATGAAGCTTCCATTCTTCTCTCTGCGGTAGCAACATATCGCCAAAAAAGTTACACCATTGAAAGCAAGAGGAATCACTATAAATAATGCATGTAACAGTCTCCGCACAGCACATGATCACAAAAGCAAGTCTCTGCATATCAAATGCGTGTAACAGTTGAAGGACAGAGTCAGCACCTGACACGCACTCCCACAGTACCAAGCAACTCGACAAACGGAGCACTTCCTCAGGTTTCTGGAGGCGAAACAATTGTCGCAGTTGGAGCCCACAGAAATCTTGTTTGGTGTAGAAGCGTAAGGCTCTTGCGAAATAACGACTTCTCCTGCAGACGCAGAACCCCCCATCATCATCATCGCGGCAACAGGAACCATAATCCCAACTCAATGAAACCGCATTGCAGCAGCATCCACTACGGATGGCCTCAAGCCTTCCGCCTGGGCATTTCGCCGAGCGGTTCGCGAGCAGCCGCCCCCTGCCTTGCTTGGCCACCATGGCACAGCGCCCGCCTTTCGATCAGAGAAGGGGGGGTTGGGTTTACCTGGGAAGAAGCTGCGTGCGGCGAAGAGGCCGCGGCCCTTCCCGGGGACGGAGGCGACGGCGAGGTCTCGGCCGGCGAGCTCGTCCCGCAGCTGCTCCTCCCACGACGCCATTCCCCCCGCCCCGACGCCTCTCCTCTCGAGAAGGTTCGAAAAAAAAAAAAGGAATAAGTTCATTTGAGGTCCCTCAACCGAAAAACCAGACACAACGGGTCCCTCAACTATCAAAACCGGTGCAGATGAGATCCCTCGGTGGTTTTAAGAGCGGTTTTGGCTGACGTGGCGCCTACGTGGCTAATTTGACTCGGTCTCATTTAATGTGGCATTGACGTGACGCTTACGTGACAATTCGAACCGAAAAAATAATAAAACCCGTAAGACCCACGTGTCAGTTCACACCCAAAATAATAGAAAATGGTGGGACCCACGTGGCCCCCATGTCATCCTCCCTCTTCTCTCTCTATCCTCTCTCTCCCCTGCACCTACAGAAGGGCGGAGCAGCGGCGGGCGGTGCTTAGGAGCTGAGACCGGACCTTCGCCTGAGCCGGAATCACCGTCGGCGACGCCCACACCGCCTCATCCACCCTCTCTGCCAGCTTGAGCTGCTGAGGTTGGATTGCTTGGATGGACGGCGAGGCGGATGGCGTGCGTGGCGGTCGGTGAGGAGGAAGGGGAAGAAGGGGAGGTGGCGGTGGCGGCGAGGCGGGTGTTGGTGAAGCGGGCGACGCGTGTGGCTCGGCACCTTCGACACGCCGCCGCTGCTACCTCCAAAGAAGCCGATTCCGCCGCCGTCGGTGACGGTGGCAGTAAAGGAGGAGGCCATCGAGCTCGCGGCGGCAGCGCCGCCGCCTTTCGTGCCCCGGCCGATGTGGCCCCTGCTGGCCGACGGCGGGAAGCGCAAGAAGCAGTCGGGCTACGGTGGCCGCATCCCCGCCCTCAATACTTTGACGCCACTGTCGAACTCCGTCTCCTTCTCGAGCGCGGTGGCAATGGTGGACAACGGCTTCTTGGCGTGCGCCGTGGCGATGGCGCCGGATTCGTTGTCCTCATTGTTGGAGCCCGCAGTCGGGCGCTCCGACTCCTCCTGTGGCCAGCCGCGTGAGCAGCCATGCGCGGTCACCACCACGGAGGCCGCTGAAGACGATGGCCCGCCGGAGAGGGAAGGCGACGGCAAGGGTGGAGGAGCAGGGCGGCAATGAACTAGTTTCTTGCGCTAATGCATGATGTGAAACTTGCAGGCGTACTCTATGTGTGTGTGCAACAATGGCGTTGATGCGGCGGAGAGTTGGGAGCTACATTTGCTTGGAGCTGTGTGGCTCGGTTATGAATCAGAGGCTGTACTCTTCTTGGACTGGAAGCAGCTTCGGCCTATGATACAATCAAGCGCATGATTCCAGTAGCAGAGGAGGTAGTCAAGGCTAGAGAGATTGTAACCAAAGGTGGGGCCGCCGGGAGTCGACCGTGCCCTCCAATCCCGGTAATCCCCAGCGAGGCCAGCGACAGAGGAGGTCGCGGACGCGGTGGGGACGCGGAGGACGGCGCAGTGGCTGGCGGCCTGACGGCGACCGTCGAGCACTGCGCACGGATGAAGAGTTGGGTTACGGGGCGATGCGCGGCGGCCTAGCCTGTGCCCTCTGTGCGGGAGGGTGAGGCGGCGCGCGCGCATCGGTGCGGCGGCACGGGGGGAGTCGTCGAGCCGGCGACGACGGAGGAGCAGGGCGGCGCGCCGCCCATGGCGAGGACGCTGTCGAGGTCATCTCTGCCGTCCCCACGGCGCCCAGAAGAGAGGGGAGATAGGGGTGAGAATGACATTTGGGCCCCACCGTTTTTATTAATTTTGTGTGTGAAACTGACATGTGGGTCCCATGGGATCTATTATTTTTCTCAGATCGAATTGCCACGTAATGCCACGTAAGTGCCACGTCAGATGAAGACCGAGTCAAACTAGACACGTAAGCGCCACGTCAGCCAAAACCACCATCTAAACCGCCGAGGGACCTTATCTGCACCGGTTTTGATAGTTGAGGGACTTGTTGTATCTGGTTTTCCGGTTGAGGGACGAAAATCGGATTCATTCACAAGTCAAGAGACCTCCGATGAACTTATTCCAAAAAAAAAAAAATAGGCACAGTTCGCAACCAGCCTAATAGGCGAAAGGCCCAAGTGAAAAAAAAGGCCCAGCAACTTGGCTTGGGCCAGGCCGCATTCCGAGCTAGTTTTCCAAAAAAAAAAAGAAAAAAGTCCCTCCCTCCCTCTCTCTCTCTCTGTTTCTCCAGTCTCCACATCACTGCGTGTCTGCGTCGCCATCGCCGCCTCGCTGCGACTGCATTTCAAATTTTTCGGGGACTCATCCCCATTCCCACCTCCTCCTCCCCCACCAAGCTCGCTTCCGATTCGCTTCCATGGCGGCCTCCGACCACGCACGCGCATAGAGGGTGCGCAGGCTGCCCCCGAGGCCTGCCGGGCCGCAGCGCCCGCCGCTCGTTGGGAACCCTAGCGCGCCGCCCATCTGCACCTCCGGCGAGATGCCTGTGGGCCCCGCCGCAGCCGACGCCGCTGACGATGGAGAGGAGGGATAATTTCCTTCAGCCCCCTGCCGCCGCCGCCGCCCCAGCCGCCGGCGGCGGAAAGGGCCTCCCGGTCCCCGCCACAGGGGACGCGACGAACCTGACCTCGTCGTCGAGCTCCACCTCCTCCCTCACGCTGTCCCCTCCGGACTTCCTGCGTCAGGTTCAGGCCGCGCTGAAGCGGCATAGGCCTACCGGTGAGTGGAATCTAGCCCTGCACTCCCCTGCTGTTGCTTCCGCCTAGGGTTCTAGTTACCCGTTTGACGCTTGTCCTCGTTCAAACCTAACTGGAGTACGTTGGAATTCACTAGTACCAGACATTCTACATGGGGTTACTGATCTGATAATTAGCTAGTTTACTGGGGACTCTGTATCAAATTTCATTATTAAGCTTGTTTTGAAATTTTAGATATCAATTGTGATGTTGTTTGATGAACATATTGGTCGGAATGGATTTATTTATCTATAATGTGCCGTTTATTCGCTTTGGATTGAATGCCTCGTAGGTTCGATGCAGTCCAATCAACCACGAGCAACCCGAGTCCTGGTGTCCCGAGGTGAGGGCTCAACGAAAGCTGTTGCCAACCCTTCTGTGGCACAAAATCCGGAAGGCAAGGTTATGCAGCAGAGGAGAGGCCTGCTGGGGGCTTCCAGGTTGCGAAATGCAGCTCCTGATCAGAACAAAGCTGTTGTCTCAAGTCAAGACGAATTGTTGTTGACTACGCCTTTGACATTGGGAACTATCACTGATACCCATGATCAGAATGGTGGTCAGAACCACCAGCCGAAAAGTGACACTGATCTCTTGGTGGATAGGAAGAAATCGTCAATGGAAGTTTCTTCCTCCCAGATGGCATCCGCAAATGCATTGGTAGGGGAAGATTTCAAAAAAGACCTATTCTATTTGACTAGCGATCCGCAGTTAACTTCTCAGAGTAAGATTCCCCCCTTTCTGGCTCCTTTGAAGTTCAATTCAAACTTGAATCCATGTTTAGTTATCAGTTTACGGTGCAGGTGATAATGTAGGTGTAACTGCTGGTAGTAGAATGGACAGTATGTTGTCTTATCTTCATTCTGTTTCATTGACAGCAGGAGATAATTTTCCTGTCGCTCAAGTAGCAGATGATCAAGGCAAGAACCACAAGGAGATTGGGATTGCTAGTGCAGCAGTTGAGATGGATATCAAGTATGATGCAGCTAACTTGTCCCGAAGAATTGATGAGGCTTGTGATCAGAATCATGGAGAGCCAATGACTCGTTGCTCTGCCATGGGTTCATCAGTGACTGCTGTATCTTTATATTCAGGGCCTACTATTCAAAGTAAAAGTGCTGCTCAGATTGATCAATATGCTTCACCAGCTCAGATGCCACAATGTGGCAGAGAATCATCTGGTGTATCAGGTCATGGCTCTCAAAAACTGCATGGAGTGGCAATGAATCATGCTGATTGCAATACCAACAAACAGCAGGTTGATACCAATGGTGGGATGGACAAACCTGTTTCTAGTAGTGCAGTTTGTTTGCCATCCCAAGGGTTATCTGGGAATGATCAATCTTTGTCTGCCAAGGATGATGGTGCTCCTAGACGAAGCAAGGTTGAAAAGGAGTGTCGCAAAAAGAATTATGATCCGGATGTATTCTTTAAAGTGAATGGAAAACTTTATCAGAAGCTAGGTAAAATAGGGTCTGGAGGCAGCAGTGAAGTTCACAAAGTTATATCAGCCGAGTGTACAATATATGCCCTGAAAAAAATAAAACTTAAAGGTCGGGACTACCCTACTGCCTATGGCTTTTGCCAAGAAATTGAGTACCTAAACAAGTTGAAAGGAAAGAGTAATATCATACAGTTGATTGATTATGAGGTACTAGTTATTATTCTTATCTCCATTATTTTTTTAATGACATTATTTGTGGTTGGAATGTCAAAAGTTGATGCCGGTACCTCCACTGAAAAGATTATTGTGTAATTTGTTTTTTGTAGTATCCGAAATTGAGCTTTGGATGTGAGTTTCCGCTGCAATATATTGCTAGTAATTATGAAATTATGGTCATATGAAAGTACTTCCGAACCCAAAGTTAAAAGATATTGCTTTTTGTGTGACTAAACCTGGATATTGTAGGTCTAATGGTTGGTAAATGTTTGTCTCACTCCCTCTAAATTTATGATGCCTTGGAAATTCATAATTTCATATGTCCAGGATACCTGTTGTTATTGAAACAGACTAATTTGATATCATGTACAAAGAATTTACTGTTGCTTCATCACCTAAACAAAGATAGCATTGCTTCTGTTGTAGCAAAAAAATGTGTTTCTTGACTTGTGCAATTATGTAACCTTCTAGTCCCTAATGGTCTTTTTTTATTATTATGTAACCATCATATTATAACTTCTAGCTCGGTTATCTTTCTAGAACCTATAATATAGAAGGATTAAGGGTTTATGACTTTATGTTAGCTCAAAAGAACCGCTACCATCTTAAGTATTGGCATTTTTTCAATGTTGTAGTTTGAGAAACTCAAGAAGTAGTTCAGTTTTATTGTTGGAAATTCTTAATAGGCACATGCAATACTACCTTCCCTGTGGTTTGTTGGTATCAGTTGCACTTTCCTATAATATGCATATGCATACCCATATGATCCATATTTTTGCACGGAAGTTTGATACACTGTAAAATGTAAACTTGCTCATCATTTCTATGTTTTCTGCATTGAGTGTGACCAGTACCTGTTGATGTATTCTTAAAATTTTTATCACCTCCTTCAAATTTCCAGAGCCCAACATCTTTTAGAACTTCCATTCTTCAAAAAAAAATATATAACTAAGCGATATAGAACTTTCTGGCTACAATTTATAGGTTCCAAACTTCCAGTAAAAATGGAAAATGTGTAGTTCACTACATTTAAGAAACTAAACATTATATTTTAAGTAACCTTGTCACTGATGATTGATAATTTAATATTTCAACCGACCATGATGTATGAAGACCAATTTAAGCATATGTGGACTTCGATAAAATATGCTATTATCTAATTGACCCTTTATAATTTTGTTGTCAGGAGATAATATTGTTTAATCTGCCTTTGGATTTTGTCTGTGCCAGGTCACTGATAAAAGTTTGCTTCAAGATGATTCGCTGTCACCCAGAGATGGGAGAATTAAGGATGATCACTACATTTATATGGTCCTTGAGTATGGTGAAATTGATTTAGCTAATATGGTTGCTCAGGAGTGGAAGAAGAGGAACACCTCAAATATGAAAATAGATGAAAATTGGCTACGTTTTTATTGGCAGGTAACTTTTCTTTTTATGCAATATAGCTGAAACAAGATACAAATGGGTCAATAGAAACAATTGTGGTCAACCTAGTAAAATGAAGGTGATCAACCCTTCTGCTGTAGGGTATTTGTCCACAAAAGAAATATCTTCTAATCTGTATGACAAATGTACTGTTGATTCACGGAATTTATCTTAGAATACCATAGACCCATAGTATCATTACATTTCGTAGTTACCCACTATTATTGTTGGTTTTAATACTACTGAATGGTTATATACTTAGACCAAGCGTACTTAGCGGCAGCTGATTTGCTAGCAATTTGTTGATTTGTTATATCTTTAATTGATCAATTGTTAGTTGAGCAAACCATCCATGTAGTAATCCGAGAACTTGTGTAGGCTTGTAGGAATGCTCTCGATTTATGAATCCCTCAACTGAAGAATTCTGTAGAGAAGTTCTGTACATTTGCTCTCAGTACATACATATAGGCATGAGCTTTCCAAATTTCATTCTGACATATTCTGCATGGAGTATGGTACAAATATCTGTAAGTTTGTACCTTCGTGTTGCAGTGCTTACCCTGTTCATTCTGTTTACCAAGAAAGTTGTGAATAAAGTGAGGCAACATCTCTATGCAGTGCTTGCACTTAATGTAACATGGTTTTACAGTTCATGCTTATGTTGTAAACTTGTAAAATAGGAGGCAGCATGGTTCAGTATGATATATCACATAATGTCATGTGCAACTTTCACCTTTGTCCATTTTGGTTAGGCATGCATTTATGTAGAATGTCACAAAATGGTTGATATAGTACCTATATTATGCTTAGGGTTTCTCTGATTCTGGGTTTTATAAAATATAGTACCTTATCAGTTTTCCTTTGTGCTGTAGCAAATGCTTAAAGCTGTCAATACAATACATGAGGAACGGATAGTGCACTCCGATTTGAAGCCTGCAAATTTTTTGCTTGTGAGGGGTGCACTGAAACTTATTGACTTTGGCATTGCTAAAGCAATAATGAATGATACCACAAACATTCAACGTGATTCTCAGGTACCAACAGATGATTTGGGATGTAGCATTCATGGATATATTGGTTAAGAATATCGATGTCCACTACAGATATTGTTGTCTTGCTTTCTAATCGTGGTTTCTCACTGTATTGTGCAGATTGGAACACTGAACTATATGTCACCTGAAGCATTCATGTGCAATGAGCAGGACTCGGGTGGTAATGTTATCAAGTGTGGACGTCCATCTGATATTTGGTCTCTTGGTTGTATTCTTTACCAGATGGTGTATGGTAAGACACCATTTGCTGATTACAAGAATTTCTGGGCCAAGTTTAAAGTTGTTACTGATAAGAACCACAAGATCAAGTATGAACCGGTAGATAATCCATGGCTTATTGATTTAATGCAACGATGCCTTGCATGGGACCGAAATGATCGATGGAGAATACCTCAATTGCTTGAGCACCCGTTCCTTGTTCCTTTGGTTCCAAGGGATTTACCTTCAATTGACCAAGACCCGTGTAGGTTGCTGATGGAGAGGGTTAGAGTTCACTGGGCCAATCCCAAGCTTCATAGTTTTATTGCAGAGCTCGAGAAGGATCAATGCCGTCCAGCCACTCAAATGTAAGAGAGCTTTACATTGATAGAATGTGGATATGCGATGCGTATGTCCAGTTATGCTAGAAGCATCTTACTGATACACAACAAGGGGACAAGCTGACTATAGCTAACGTTATAGCTTATCTGATTATTGAAATTGCCTACTATATTCATATATATTTGGTTATTAGGAAGCTTGCTACTGTGTGCCGTCAGAAGGTGGGACATCTTTTTATCACGCAAGATTTTCCTCAGATGATGTATTCCTGTTACTGCTTGAACTAGGAGGTAGGCAGAACCTTAAGTAGCACAAGTGATTTAGTATCTGTATCGCTTGGTTCCTTTGAATTTATTGTTGTAATCTGTAAATAGTACTTGCATGAGTAGGAAACTGGGAGCATTTTTTTGTGGTGCCCTTGGCATTGTACGCTCCATATTTGCGTGAGTAGGAAACTTGGAAGTTGATGCAATTGTTTGTCAGAATCGGTGTATGTTCAACAGGGCAGAAGCTTTGCCGGCCATACTTGACTCTATTGGTGCTTACTTGGTTCGTCTTTTTCTTTTTTCATTGATCCTCTTTTTGTGATTGAAGTGAACCGAGCGAATCCAAGGCCCATCCTCAGGTACAGATAGTCAGGTGTATGTTCACGTCGGCGCAGTGGCGCACTCATGTACTGTTCTCACTTATCCTAAAGCTGAGGCGGAGTGGCATACTCCCTTTAAAAAAAAATCAATTTAGGATAAAATGTGTTGTTCTAGTATATGTCATGTTCTATTCTAGATTGATTATTTTTGGGACAGAGACAGTAAGCCGGGAGTAGTAGTTTTTCTTATGATCATAAGCCATTATTCGCCACTGGCTAGATGCTAAAAGATGAATGCATTGCAGGAGGTGAGAGGGAGTCGGCCGGCCAGGCAGCGTATGGTCCTCACTCCTCTGCCAGTTAGCCCCTGCCAGCTCCTGCGCTGCTCCGGCCGCCGGCTGGCCGGCACCGGGGGGGGTCCCCCGGCGGCGGCCAACCCCGGCTGAGCTTTGATGACGCGCAGCCGAGTGACAGAAAGCGAAGGGCGAGACTGCCACTGCCACTGCCACTGCCACTGACGCCGGGATTGGGTCGGACTGACCGAGCAGCCCACTCATCATGGAGTCATGGGGCGTAGTACGTGCACACACTGGCTCGAGCTATCATTGGTCTCGTTGCTTTTGTTGTTGGATGGAGAATCTGCATGCAGCGCCGACGGCGTCACGGATTCGCGGCTGCGCGCGCGCGCTGCTACGGATCAGTTTTTTTGGCGCCGCCTCGTGGGGGAAAGCACACTGTTTCCATGTCAGCTGAGCCCTTCCCTTCTCTCGAGCGGTAGTGCGCTGCTACTGTGCGCGGAGCAGGAGCTTTCTGTGGTTTCCTGGAAGAGGAGGTAGAATAGCACAGGCCCTGAGTTTCACTCACATGCGCAGGCGCAGCAATAATGAAATGGCACACAGTTGCAGTTGCACAGAGGTAAATTTTGCTCACTTGATCCATGTTGATTTATTACACGAGGTAATCCCTCGCTCCTGCTAGTACCCAATGGATGGAACCCATATGCAGCACTACTATTCATTAGTAAACCCGTCAAGATATTCAGTGGTACCACCACACCGAGCGGCACAGTAGACAGCCCAAAGAACCAAACAAATTAAGCCACAGTGCAAACAAGGAGCAAAGGAAAAAACCAAACCAACCTGTACGGTACGGCTGCACCTGATGAGCGATTGCCGATGAGGCGATGACCCCGACCGGCTGTCTACCCACTGTCGCGCGGGTCATCAATGCAAGAGTCAGGTTAATGCCAACAGTCAGGTTGATGGTGTTTTTATTCTGGGCAATATACTACACGCCCCAGTCCGTCACATCAACAAGGACCACCCCCGCAGCGGCAGCGGCCGCGGCCAGCGTTGCGTGCGTCCCCGGTTATTCCCTCCCTTCCTTCTTCCGCCACCCACAAAAAGATGAACTACAGCGCCCCCCGGTCAAGCACAAGCGCATCACAATTCACAACTGGTGGTTGTGGGGGTCAGCAACTCATTCATTGATCAGCTCGAACAGCTCGGACAGCACGCGTGATGGAATGACCAATGGCCAGGATCGGACAGGATCACAGGAGCCCAGGAGTAGTAGTAGTAGTAGTAGTAGTAGTTGTTGTTGTACTACGCGACGACGCGAGGTCTATAGCTGCGCCAGGAGCGGAGGAGAGCGATGGAGGGTTTGGGACAGCGGGGGCGTGGCCGCGCATGGGCGACGGGGCGCGCGGGCGTTGCGGCCGGGCCACCGACGGCAACCCGGCCCCCGTGGGGGTGGGGCGGCCCTGGGTCACGCGCGCGTCGCGCGGGAAGCGCGTGGGGCGGATGGCTGTTCAGCTGTTGGCGCTGTCGTGTTGCTGGTGGGGGAGGACCGGCGGTGATCCGGGCCAGGGCCCAGGGGGCAAGGGGAGTTTCAGTTTGGCGCCAAGTGAGGGCCCGTTACGAATTGTGGATATTAGATTTTACAGGGCTGAATTATTTTGCGGATTATCTGTATCATTTTTGCTTAGCCACTTGTTCTGGTATTTGTTAGGTTGATAATATATACTCCCTCCGTTTCATAATGTAAGTCATTTTAGCATTTCCCATATTCATATTAATGTTAATGGATCTAGATAGATAGATATATATGTCTAGATCCATTAACATTAATATGAATGTGGGAAATACTAGAATTACTTATATTGTGGAACGGAGGAAGTAAGATTTAATTCATATGAAAAAAAAATTAGATCTATGGACTTCCATCCATATTTTATCTAAAAAGAATAGACCCTGTGTACTTTCATTTGAAGAACTGCAGGGAACTTCAGGCTAGGATACTTTCTTGGGCCTTTATAAGAGATTGTTAACCTTTTATATTTGCTTGGGGCTTTCTGAGTTGAGAGCTCCCTATACTATTTTCAGTTTTGGGGCAAAGCTTCTAATTAAATACCCAAGTTTTAGAATTGGAAGCTACAAAAACTTCCATGATTTAGAAAAGTTTTTTTTTAGATAAAGGATTATCAAACCCGGCCTCTACACCTTTATGGGGTGTACACAGCCAAAAATCCGAACACGAGTACATAACACTCTCCCTAATAAAAGGGTACAAAATGCATCAACTGACCTCTCCCATTACATAAGAGATGACAGCACAAAGGTTTTAAGAACAACAAACGAAGAAAAGACTAGGCTTCCAATCTTCTTCTAAGGTTCCAGCCATACACGGAGAAGAATTCCACCACACGCTTCTCCGGCAGTTTGCAATAGTTCTTAACTTTTTCTTCATTGGTTCCCTTAAGAAGCAAAGATCAAGTCCTTGCCCAATGTGTTCCCATGAAAATAACCTGCAAGAAAGATGTAGGATTGGAGCCATTAAATACCACATCATTCCTTTATAACCAAATTGCCCAAAGAAATGCAGCTATGCCCACAAACAATATTCTCTTGAGCCTAGGTTCAACACAATTCAGCCAATTCCCAAACATTTGAGACATGCTACATGGTTGCCTAATCCCAAATGTAAAAAGGAGCGCACTCCAAATATACTTAGCCATTGAGCAATCAAAGAAAAGGTGTTGTATTGTTTCCTTAGAGTTACAAAAATAGCAACTTAGGCTACCCTTCCACCTTCTCTTTGCTAGATTATCCTTAGTGAGAATTACCCCTTCCTTGAGTACCACAAGAAAATTTTAATTTTAAGTGGAATTTTGAGCTTCTAAATGAAATTCTTCCTAGGAACCAGCCCTTCATACATGAGCAACTTGTACATAGATTTTACTATGAAAATGCCTTCTTTATTGTTTTTCCAAAAGAAGCGATCTTTCTGATCTGTCAATACAATGTTAACAACTTTCGACACTAGCTCATACCAGGCTTCCAAGTTTCTTCCCACTATTGATATTCTGAAAGACACATTTAACGGTATTCCACTCATTACCTTGGCCACCACCTCATTTTTATTTCTAACTAGATTGTAGAGGTTAGGATACTCCTTCTCAAAGGATTGAACTCCTATCCAATAATTCTCCCAAAATCTTACTTGTGAGCCATCTTGTAATAAGAAGGAACCAAACCTTTGAAAAGACTCTTTGGCTAACATGAGACTAGTCCAAAAATGTGAGTCCCCTGGTCTTTTTTGGACTTGTAAAATGGTTTTCTTTGTCAAATATTTTTTCCTAAGCAGACTTTGCCAAATTCCGTCTTCATTGATCAACCTAAAAATCCATTTACTAAGCATACACTTGTTCTGCATTTCTAGGTTTTGGATTCCCAACCCCCCACATTCCTTAGGTCTGCACAACACACTCCATTTAACTAACCTATACTTCTTTTTGTGCTCATCACATTGCCAAAAAAATCTGGATCTGTAAAAATCCAGCTTAGGGATTTTAAAGAAAGAAAGCATGAATGTTGCCAGACTACTCAACACTAAATTAATGAGCACCAACCTTCCTCCTGACGACAAAAACTTGCCTTTCCAACAACTGAGTTTCTTCTAGAATCTATCTTCTAGATCCTTCCAATCTTTGTTTGACAATCTTTTGAAATGCATAGGAAGGCCTAGGTATCTGAATGGAAAAGTACCCATCTTACAACCAAACAAAGTGGTGTAATCCTTTTCCACCTCCTTAGCTTTCCCAAAATAAAACATCTCACTTTTATGAAAATTAATTTTCAAGCCCGATAACCTTTCAAAGGCAGCTAGTACAAATTTTAGGTTCTTGGCTTTAACCAAATCATGGTCCATAAACAAGATGGTATCATCTGCATATTGCAAGATTGAGAGACCATTGTCTACCAAGTGAGGAATTACTCCATTTAGAGTCTCAAGGTCTCAAGCATGAGAATGGCAAGCATGAGTTTGAACTTCGAAAAACCGAAATCTGAGATAAGTTTAAAGTTGTGAATATATGGACTATGGTCTCAATAGAAATCGAGTTCCAAAATATCATATTGAGAGAGAGACAAAGTGACACGTACAAAAATGTTAACTGTTCTTGCCAATTCACTTGCATCACGTACATGCTTCCAACAGGCGAGCTGGGCTAATGTTTCACTACCCTCCATTCTATTCCTTTCTCCTTTCCCCGTTCCACTACCTGCTGCGTGATGTAACAAACTATGATCTTTGATGTAATACATTTCTATTATAAAGTAGAACAATGTACGAGTATTATTGTAGCCAAGTTCTTTTCTTGTTCTTTAATTGAACACCCTAACATTAAAAACAACTCTCTGCCTCACAAGTCATTTTCAGAACAAAGGAGTGCAATTCCAATCCAATACGGAATCAAATATAGCACATGAGGCGAAGGTGCTTGCAGATAGCATAATCCGAGGAGGATATACCTACCTTGAAAACTAGAAGCATCCTCGATGTGAACCTAGACATGATGCCCTAATCCCTTATGCGATACAAACAGTAAAACAAATAACGTAGAATACAGTGACACATGTCACTCTACAAAAAATTCACATTTGAGTCATATCTGAATGC